GAGACAAGTAAAGGTCAGAGCAGCACACTGCAGTTTCAATTCGATATCCCCACTCTCCTCCCTGTTCTTAAGCATGCATCATAACTTCAACTTTAAACACAAAGCAAAACTAAAAATTAGCATAAAAGGATAATCCCAATGCCAAGATCACTAAAGCAAACAGGAAAGTTAAACTTTAGTTTCTGTTCCAGAAACTAAATGATTGCAATTCAGTTCATCTCTAGTCCTCATTTTCCAAAGTACTATCATACAATTTTCAGTGACTGACACCCAATTAAGTACAGCTTGATCCAGCGAAGTCTGAAGTTACTAACACTCCCTACTGGTGAAAATCCCAACAACTGTGTCTAATAGTAACATAGCACCTCTAGAAGTGCATTACCTGCACTTTTACTGATAATCTGGATTCCAACTGTTTTCTGTATTGTACTGCACTCAGGAAAACCTGCTATCATTATTCCTGTTCCCCTCTCCCCATTGTTTATGGTCTCTCTATTTTTCCACTCAGTACTAAAGTCTTAAATGAAAAATATATTTATTTCAATAAGACTTTTCCTTAAGGCCTTAAAAGTACTCAATCTGTACTAGTTAGCCATCTTTTCTCTTCCAGGTGAGCAAATTTACACTGAAGAAAGATGAGAATGGACAAGGAAAAGCAGACTGGTAAGGAAGAAACAAGGATGGGACAGTAAGGGACACAGAATCAGAGCAACATTGGGATTTTTATACTGTTCTTCTCTTTCCAGATTACTTATTTCCTATCCTCTCGAACAGTTTTGTCTTCTCCCTCACACGCTTTTCTGTGTCCACTTTCTTCACTTTTCTGTCACTATTCCTCTCCCAATATGAATTAGTATTTCCAAGACATAACTTGCTGTTAATTTAAACTCATTAAGGAATGACTAAACTGTAATCTCATTTATTTTATCTGTTCCATTTTTATGCCTGTTACTGTCATTTCTGGAATACATCAATCACTCCCCCCCCCCCCCCCCCCCCTCTCTCGAGTTAGGTCAAGCCAAAACAATTTTGACTTCCTCACTCTTTTCAAGATCAGTGTATGTTCAAACAACTTTAATATCCCAGAGAACTTGAACATAAACATCTTATCTCACTGGCTTCAGTACTGCTCTTTATTACTTCTATATTGCTCTTGGTACTCCCTTTCACCATTTTCAGGTATTTTTTAAAAAGATTATTGTACTTATAAAAACACTTATATAATACACTTTTGAAAGAGAGTGATATTTCCAGGTTTCTGCCCCTTCATCATTTATCTTCCATCCTCTCAATTTTTAATCCAACAGTTTTCTGTATTTCTTTTGCAACAGATTAATTTTTCATTTGCTCCTTCCTTTCCTTCTACAGAGTTTTCCCTCTAATGTATGTTTTGACTCTGCTTCCGCATTTCATTTTGCAGAAATCTGTCTTCTCCATCATACATTAGAAGCATTTCTTCAAAAAAAATCCTTTCTGTTGTCCCTGATACATCCAGACTTTTTTCTTTTTCTGACCCTGCTGAGATACTGTCCACAAAATGCCCACTTCGGGCAGTCAACACTCAGCTTTTTGATTCTCACAATGCTCTCCAACCACTGCTCGCTTTTGCAGCATGCCACACACTCAACTTCTGCTCTGCTGCAAGACAATATTGAAAAAATAAGAAGATTCCCTTTAGTACCTTACCTGCCAAAGTTTTCCTTCAAGGCTTCACTTCAGATCTTTCCTTTCTGTTAACATGATGGGGAAAAAAAAATCTAATTCTACTCTTCACAGCTTGACTGCAATTCTGGTTAATTCTTTGTAAACTTCTAAAATCTTCATTTCCATTATAGTTGATGCTGGTTTAGATTTTAGTTCCAAATCCCATGATTTAAGCTTCATTTTCTTCCCAGTTTTCTTCATAATTCAGAGCTTCTTTCTATTGCCTCTTTCTGTGATTACCATCTCAAATTTCTCACACATGATAAATACAGTATTTCTAAGACTTTTTCTCCCCCCCCCCCCTTGTTTTTTTTTTTTTCTTTTTAGAAAGAAGTTGGCTTATCCTTTCCAGGAACAGAAATACAGTCTTTCTTGAACAGATCTCACTATCTTTACAGATATGAAAGAAAGATACAAAATATATGAGCATGTATAACAGAAGCCATGATCACCATACACCATGTAAGCAAGCATATGACAGTTTCATTTTTCCTTTTAAAACACATTATATACTCTAAGTTTCCCCACCCATTTTGCCTTTGGGTATTTTTGTTTCAACATAGTGTTGCTTTTCTGACCCTTAAAGAAGCAGACTATTTGAAACAAACAATTCAATGACCTTATTTATGAGTTGCTTCTTAAATTCTTCCTTTTATATTCCAATCATTTTATTAATTGCTCTCCAATTTTCCTACTACATTCCTTAATAATATACTCTTCCCACTCAGAAATGAACTTTAAAAAAAAACAATTGCCAGACTTCAGAGGCCATTTGTTCATTTCCAGCCGTTCTACTTAGACAGTCGTATTCCATTGCAGTCAGGCTTCTAATAACACTTTTCTTTAACATGCGATTATTTCTCACCAACTTTTAAACAGCTGAAACAAACGTTTTTAGTTTATACCTCTCAGTTTTTTGGTATACTTTTTCAAGCTTTTCCCATAAAGTAACACAAGCTGAGAAATTAATAAGAGCTGTATTCTTAGGATTTCTTCTCACACGTCTTCTCGGAGAGAATCCATGCTCTAAATATTTAGAGTGTGACTACCTCAGAGCTTTGAACTTATTTACTGGTCCTTTATGTCTCAACCACCAGTCAGGCTTCCTGCATCTGTCTTTGCTTCCTCCCGTTACTTTCAACAAATAAATAAATTTTTAAGTTATTCAGATCTAAGATTACTTACACACTTATTCTCTCCAACATGCCAATGAATATTGCTGCAAAAATCTTCCATAATTTCTAGTTTAATTTTTGGTTTACATTTAAACTATTTTTTTTCTATCATCACATTTTTTTCTTCTGCTAAAGCTTATAGAATAACAGCTTCTTTCAAGATTTCCAGAATTCTCTTTTCTCTCTCTCTCACCCTCCCACCCCTCTTTTTAAAGCCTCTGAGTGATGTTATGTTATTCATGCAAAACTGTTTGAAGTTTCAGTCTTATTTGAAACAAAAACTAGGAGATGACAACCCTTCTGGAGACAGATACAATTCCAGATGGCAACTGGAGCTGAATGAAGCTCTCAACTCAGAGCCAAGGTAAAGGGAAAAGTTCACTGACAAAACCTGATGAGCATAAGAAAGGCGCATTGACATAGAAACCCTTACATTTCATTGATTTAAATTTAATCTTTTTCATTGACTCTATATAGGTTCTGTGTATTTCATAGTATAATTTTTGAACAACACCCGGACTGATAGATTAAGAGGCAGTTAAGTATGAGACATAGTTTACTAATAAATTAGCTGATGTCAAAGAGGTCACTTGAAGGAGAGATGGTAATAAAATCCTGGGCTCTTTGAACACTTCAAAGTTTAGAAACTCTGAGTCTACCATAGGCATTTGCTTCTAAGCCTCCTCAATCTAGATGTAGGAACAAAAGTGGAATTTTATGCCTCAATTAATAAACAGTTGCAGAACTCCCTCCAAAAAGCTGAGCTCTAATCAGCTGTCATGGAAGAGATCAACAGCATTCCACCTCTACATCTTCCCCACAGGTCAAGCAACAGTCATGCTGACACAGAATGAATCCGATAACTTGAGCTCTCCTGATGAAGAGGTTTTTTTTAAAGTATCAGAAGCAAAATATTGGCTTGACCACATAGTAAAAATAAAAAACAACAACCAAAAGCACTCTGAAAGCTGTCTGTATGAAAAAACATAACCATTTCAGAATTGTAATGCTATATACAATAAAACACATGCAACTTAGATTTCTCTCTGTTGTGAAATATTTTTATCATAAATATTTAAGACATTTGGGGTTTCAGAAAATGAAAACCTCAGTAAAGAAGCACCAACTATTTTGTACAAAGAAGCAGCAATTATTACTTTAATGAATTTTTTTCTTTTTATTGGCAGGGGCAAACTTTGTTAAATTATAACTTAATTTCCTCCAAATGTGCATTTAATGCTACCTGGCAGTAAGTTTTAATTCTATAGGAAGTCTGGAAGTTAATAAGTCAGGATCATTAACAAAAAAAATGATAAATACAGTTTGTATATTTTTATTTATAGGATTTGTACATCTATCACAATCTAAAAATACACACACAGGTATATGCTTAAGAGTATGGTGACAAAAGGCATACTTTAGTTTTAGAAAAGCTAGTATACCTGAAACCCAATTCATCATTACTGTTGTTCATTATACCCGTAGCCAGAAAAATTATCCTTGTGTGTAAAAAAAAAAAGTTTTACATTTTTACATTTCAATCTTTTATGGACAAAGTTTCAAGTTCTTACAGGATAAATGTGGTTAGAATCACAGAACAATGCAGGTTAGAAGGGACCTCTGCAGGTCTCTAGTCCAACCCACCAGTCAAAGCAGGGCCAGCCTCAAATTTAGATCTGGTTGCCCAAGAGCTCATCCTGCCAAGTTATGAAAATCTCCAAGCACAGAGATTCAACAACTTCTCTGTTTCTCTGCTCTCATTGTGACTTTTTTTCTCATCATTGGAAGATTTGTAATTGCAGCTAGGGACCTTGTCCTTGCCTCTTATCCGTCCACCATACACCTTTGACAAGAGCCTGGCTCAATCTTCCTTAAAACCCTCCCTTCCACTCTTAGGTAAATTGTACTTGTAACTATAACCTTAACAGAAAGTGTGTGAAAAGAATAAAGAGCACACCTTCAAAATAAGTCATGTCAAAAAACACAAGCATAGTCTGAGCAACAGAATCACGAGCACCCACTCAGTAGCGCTCATGATGAACACAGACAATACAGAGCATCAAGCTGATTCAAACTCAACACTTCAAATTATCAATAATTCTTTTTTAATGGAAAACAAACCTGGGCCACTTTAACGGAATTTTGAGTAGAACCACCAGCATGATATTCTACTTTGAACTTTTTCACAAGTTCTTCAAATCTGTTAAAGAAAAAAAAAGGTGGAGAAGAAAAAAGTTAAACTCTACAATTTTTTGTTTGTTTGTTTTCAGAAGACGACATGAAGATTAGACATAGATGACATCATGTTATTTGAAAACAAGAAATTCAGAAACATTTACTGTTACATATGGTGCAAGCTGGAAACATCTATTTAGATTTTGTTCAAATTACAAAGCAGTGTGACATCAGCTTGAATCCTTTAAAGTTGCAAGTGGAGTAGATAACAAAAAATCCCATTATCTTAAGCATAAGCTTGATTGCAACGAACTGTTAGATTGATAAAATAGATGCTCGAAGAAAAATCATAGAGATGAAGACATTCAGATACTTATTCCACCTCATTAAAGCTAGAAACAGAATGTAAAATTAAGTGAGAAGATTGAGGAGATCTAGTGTCTATTTCAAAATTAATTTGACCCAAACAACAGTGCTATGTTTTAAGTTTTCATATGAAATAGTACATTTTGACAGGTGAAGCACTTTTATGAACAAATATACTAGTACGTGAGAAAATCTGATAACAGAAAAGCCAAGTGTCTCCAGATGAGCTTTCAAATCCTTCAAGTCATACTACTGCAAAAACATAGCATTCTCTGGTAACATTCAGTAGTATACTATTAGGTTTGAATGTTGAAACAAATATTTAAGCTTTTAACGGAAATATCTACCCTCGTATTTCAGATCAAACTTTAGGGTTAAGACCCAGATAGAGTTCTATAAGACACTCTTCTTTGTCTAGGGTACTTTTTGCATCTCTGATCACAATACACCACAGCTTAAGAACCAGCCTTCTCTCTAGTCACAGGCTGTAGGAGAGGGAAGTGTCACAGAAAAGGAAGCTAGAACAGGCGGGTTGTGGAGACTGCGTGGAGGCTGTGCACAAATACTGTATCGTGCCTTTAAGTTCTAAGCACACTTCAAAATGAGTAGATTAAACAGCAGGATTAGCTGCCTCAGAAGACATTAGACTGAGAAGGAAGCACTCCTGCAGGCAAGTTAAAATGTTTACTGTAAAATTTGTTTGCACATTTGAGGGTCAAAATGACCTGAAGGTCAACCCTAATTAAAAGCACAGATTTGCCCTTAAAGTCTATTAACTTTCTATGTTTACCACTAACAAATGAAGCTTCCCAGTTAGATGTATTTCAACATATTTTATTGTATTCACCTTTAGCATCTTTTAAAAGAGTGACACATCTTTACTTCAGACAGAGTGAAAAACGAATGCTATCGTCAACCCTACCCTCCCTCTCCCCCTCACAACCCCGATCTCCTTATAGTATGTGAACAACGGCTTTAGGGATAGATTTGTCAAGTAATCACTTGTTCGTTTAAAAGGTTTTGATTTTCAATACCATGTTACTGATAAGGGCATTTTTATTTCTACAGTACTTTCCATTTAAAATATTTGAATAATGAGCTACTCACCCTAGCAAACTACCGATGGGCAGACAATTAGAAAGAACCAAGAACTAAATTACTACATATGATTTTCACAGTTATCCACACTGCTAATTATCCACCAATTCTATGTCAAGCAATTGAAACCTCAAATGATAGCAAGTAGCTGAGAGTGGGGAAAAAAATAACAAAAAGCAACAGGTCTCCTAACAATTGCTTCTTAAGCAAAGCAAAGACATACAAACCATCAGGAAGCAGTTAAGTATCTTGGCAATATTTTTTCTTTAATTTAATTGACATTTTACCTTTTCAATCAATTTGAGTGTGTACTGCCCAAATCACACCATTATTTTCGTATATCTACAAGCATGCCAATTGATATTTTAATTCCTTTCCCTAAAGACATGTTTCTATATCTGTATTATTTAATGGCACGTTAAACCTTATAGACTTAGTATACTGCAGTTGAGCATCTACGTTAGCAGCTCTAAATCTAGATGAGTAGGTATTTAAATACTCATCTTGTAGTTTGAATTAATAAAATAGGCGGTATCTGTATTTGGGGAAAAAAATTGCAAACAGCCTTAAAATTCTGTCTGTATTATGAAGATTTCACAGTGACAGCTATGTAACCTAAGAAATAGTATGAACAAATTATTTTACAATTACTTAATAGAATAAGACAAACAATGGCGACTGTCTTTCCCTGTTTCAGGTTGAACATTAAAAGACTTAACTCCTTTTCTTCAAATTAAGACAGTAAACTCAACATCTCTAAAGGTCTGTTATATAAAAGATAGAACACAAGTTCATAGAGATGCAAGAAAAGTAATTTTTTGGTGATGATTTTCCATGACACAGCAAAAGGACAACATAAATTGTGTTGTTTTAATCCACAAGCGCCTGATAACCCAGTGGTATCAAGAATGACCGCAAAATTAAGAATGCCAATAGCTTTTTATCTTAAGAAAATGAACAGTTATATGGACATTTTTCAAAATGTCAGCAGATGGCACAGGCAGCATGGGAACACTGACTTTGTCACTGTTTCCTGTGTCTGACCTGCAAAAAGACGACGGTCATTCCAGCATGCTTCAGAAACACAGTATTTGGTTTTATAAAACTCTCCATTTTAAGGAAGGAAGTTCAACTGTAGAAACTGCTCTGAGGCCTGGGAATGCTAAACAGAGCTTCTGTGTATGCTTCAGGACTAAGCTGTTATCACACTTAGGATAATTCAAGAAAATTAGAACCTTATGAGCAAGACTGAATAATATTTTTGTTTCACTTCTGCAATTGTTGGTCTTTCTGAGTATTTCTTAAGGCTGTGCTATATCTGAGAACTGTGACCCTTCTCCTGACCTAGCAAAATATCATTACCTTAAATAACAGAATAATAAATCCCACAATCAGCACCATATAGAGAGGCCCCCCTGGTTTTGGTACCATGGATTTGTTCACCACATATTTTACGAAAAACAAGTTTGCATTTGCAGCAGCATATGTTTTCAGCTGTGATACTGCTGATCAACTCTAGCACTGACCAAAGAGGATATGTTAATGTTTTGCTCAATTATACTAAAGGCAATAGTACTTCTGTCAGTTGCTTTTTTTAAAAAGGATTGACTCCTAATTGAACTTGATCCTGAAAGGTGAGCCTTTTCAGTAGCTTCACTTTTGACAGAATTAATTGCTATTAAAAAAAGTGTAACGTAGTAAGGGAAGAAGCTATTTTATAAAAGAATACAAACAAGAATGAGAATAAAATTTGTGCCTTTTTTTTTTTAAACAAAATACACCTCCTTACGTTACAGGAGGTAGAGGCTTATTTTTAAAAGGCACAGACTCCTCTTACATATGCCATACCATTACTTCAAACTGGAGACTGCTGTTAGAATTTCCCCCCAGTACCACTGCTGACAATTTCACCACCCTGTTTGTCACTCAAACCATACATAACCTGTGCATCACTATTCATCTTCTCTGCGTCCTCTTACCAAACTATATTTAAATCTTAGACTATGCCTTCTCCCAGCGCCTCTTAAAAAGCATGATTTCCTGTACCATACAGATAAATGCATTCATCTTAATATCTAATCCCTTCAGAAAGCTGCAAAGATCACCTGCATCGGCTATCCCTCTGACCAGCTCACCTCTCTCCGCACCCCTCTTCCAGCCCCTTCTCAGTCATGTCAAGCAGAGGCCAATTCTCTACATTTTCATGGCCCTGCAAAGCACCATGCCACTGAACATACCATCCTTCATTCGGTACATTCAGATTTGCAACAGCCTCTGGGCACAAAGCAGTCAACAAAAATACCTTTTCTCTCACTAACCCATGGTATCATCCAACGTCCAGTTACTAGAATTTTCCATGAATATTAGCAAATCTACTTTAAATCTTCCTTCAGACTATCTTTCACCATAATGTCTAAAAAGAGTCATCAGCAAGGCTGTGAGATTTCCTGAGGCTATTCTGCAGCCTAATGACTGGCAATCCTCTCCTGGATCAATACCCATCTCTCATAACTCACTTTATGCACAAAATCTGAGGCTTTTTTGAGGTGGGACTATCATCTTGTTCTATGTTACACAGCAACAAATACCATCGTGTTTGGCTCACCATGGTTGCAAAATGAAACTGACAACAAAAATAAGCACATTAAACATTCCCAACAGCTGAAGGCAGACAACCTAAGGCTATGGAGCTGCAGTACAGAAAATTAAAGCAATTCAAGTAATGCTGTTACGTTTTTGGACACAACTTACATTAGACTACAAAGAAACTCTTTCTGAAGGGTAAAATGGCCATAGATTACCAACATTTAACTGTCTCACACAGAGAGAGCACCAGGAACAAACAATTCTGATATGTGTCAGAAGCTACTTATCTGCAAGAAGTAGAGAAAAGTAATCTCTTGTTTTTCAGCAGGGTGTGTTGCCCTGGATATCTTTTGATATATCTGCTTATTACCCAAGATGTACTCAATAGCATACATCAGCAGGGGGCTACGCTTTAAAAAAAATCAACTGCCAAAATCAGCTAGAGAGGAGAGAAAAATAATTTTTGCCCTTTTTGCTTTTGTATGCCAGATAATGACAGCCTGAAGGTAAGACAAAAATCTGGTTATTTTGTATAATACCACCACCATCTTTTCCGTGGATTGTCCATTTTTGTTTGGTGTTATAAAAACCTTCAAAAACACTAAGATGGAAACCTCTTAAATAATCGATAAAAGGTTGCAAGTTGCCCATGAAGCCTGTAACTTCTTTTTCTTTGGAGATAACTTAGGGTTGGGGAGGTAGTCTTTGTTGATCCCTCTAGAAAGGAAGGTAGACTAGGATTTGGTATGTTTTCAAGCTATTGGATGAATTTTCAGTAGATTTTAATTAAAAATCGTAATTAATGGTGATTCTACACCTTTCCCAGATACTTATTTTCAGTTACAAGAAGTAGTCATATTAAGACATGGCAATAGCTTAAATGTTCAGCTGTGAGGAGAACCAGACTAAATACACTGACAGTTAGATGTTTGATCCTTTTAATTGCATTTTTTAAAATCTACTTAAATCTTCAAA